TTTTTTTTTTTTTTTTTTTTTTTTTTTTTTTTTTTTTTTTTTTTTTTTAAGTTCACTTAATGTTTATAAATTTTATTATTATAATTTTAAATGTTAAATTTACCCTCTTTTTTTTCTTAGGAGTTTGTTTGAATGATTTGTAGTAAGATATTGACTATTATTTATAGATTTTCATAGAAATTTTAACCCTTATCGCCACGAAACATTATTAAAATTCGTGTTTGATAAAAGAGTGAATTCAAGTTCAAAGGTAAAATGTGATGCTTTAGGCTTTGATTTAACCTCAAGGTAATTGATCGAACTAAGCAGCATAAAAGTTGGCCACTGTATATGTTGAACACCCTTTTCACAACTACATAGCTTGCATGACAGACTATAGTATAAAACATGTTCTAATCTTTTTTATCCACATATATAAAATATTAACACGTTCGAACAATACGATAATTAACATCTATAACATCCCTATCATGTCAAGTAAGATATTTTGGGTGATCCCCATTTTTCGCCTTATTGAAGATTTGACTTCTTTTCTTATGGTCAAGATCAAAATTTAACGATAATTGACTTATATTCATATTAGCTTCCAAGTGTGCGAGCGCGAGTGCTCGTGACAAAAAGTAACAGTACTTTTTCTCAGAAGCATCTCAAACTGCCCTAAACATGGCTCCTTCAGTATCCCCTGCAAGTTCACCATTGTTGAATCTCAGAAACTTATATTTAAAGCTTAACTTTCCCCTTTATTGATGTTGCACAGGGAGATAAAATTTTTGTTCAGATGAGTACAACATAAAAGAAAACATTGATATCAACCATCAAATGATGTTAAGAGAGGCATTGAAAATACACCAAAGACAAGATTTATAATAATTCTAGCCTTGAAGACGCTTCAACAACTAGAAACGAGTTTCTACGAGACACTTATAAGTCATTTTTGAAATAGCAAACAGACATGACCTCGAGACGCTCGAGTCACACCAAGCATTCGTTTATCTGGGGCAGTTTCATTATTTGCAGTTCCCATCAAAGTTGGAATTCCCTACATAGCATAGGATAAGAAGTGTTCAGTGTTGTCTCATAAGATGGAAAAAAAAAGAAAAAAAAAAAAAAAAATCTTACATGATGCTTGAAAACAAGGTTCACACCTCTACTCATGAGTGTACAGAATTGGGCAGAAAATTGAATCAATCTTTTTCGCATCATTAACTGCAGAGAAGAATCACCCAGAATAAGTGAAAATGTCTAACATTGGATAGATGAAATTCTTAGAAAGGAAAACCACTAAAAATGCAATGGGTCACTGGTTTCTGCATGAGTCCTTTGATTGACCCACACAATGCCAGGCCACTTCTTTTTACTTGAACGTCCAATGATCAACAGCCGATGAGAACTCATGCTCACGAGTCACTAATGAGTCCTTTGATCGACCCACAGAGGCAAAAAAATGGGTAAATATAAAAAAAACTACGAAGAATGTTTTGTAACAGCCCAAGCCTAAGTTCAAGCCCACCGTTAGTAGATATTGTCCGCTTCGGCCCGTTACATATTTCCGTCAGCCTCACGGTTTTAAAACGCGTCTACTAGGGAAAAGTTTCCACACTCTTATAAGGAATGTTTCATTCTCCTCTCCAATAGATGTGGATTCTCACATGTTTATTAGTAACGACTGCAGCAGGAATTTCCAAGTTCGAAAAGCTCCATCATGAACTTGCCTGCTTTCCTATCCAAAAAAGCAAGAAAAGAAAAATCATGTTCTGCAATTTGACTTAAATGAGATAGGAAGGACGCTCCCCATTGCAGTTGGCTAGGGAATTTTAAGTGGCTTCTAACATCATCCATTCTCCCCATAGGTGGATTTTCTTCCAGTATTCATAAATCAAACCCGTTTCAGGAAAGAGGTAAAATAATGAATTAAATTAAAATATTCATTCAGATCTTACATGTTTACTTGCATCAGCAAATGAATATCAGACGAAAGTTTTCACCTTTGGGATGCTGATTATTGGGCTACAAGAGCCAAGTTAAAACTACTAAAACAAGCTCATCTTATGTTTGCTAATCAAAGTAGGGTGGAAAAGATTCAAATAAACCTGAAAGAGAATCCTAAGCAGCTGCCTGGATCGACTCCCTTTCTGCATGCTCTCTGATCCTTCTTTCAAGCTCAGGCCTAAAATGCCTTATAAGACCCTGCACAGGCCAAGCAGCAGCATCACCAAGGGCACAGATGGTGTGCCCTTCAATCTGCTTGGTAACCTCTTGTAGCATGTCAATTTCTTCCAACTTCGCATTTCCAACTTTCATTCTTTCCATTATCATCCAAAGCCATCCTGTACCTTCTCTGCAGGGAGTGCACTGTCCACAGCTTTCATGCTTGTAAAAATAAGAGAGCCTTGCAATAGCATCCACAACATCAGTCGATTTATCCATAACAATTACAGCAGCAGTGCCCAATCCAGACTGGACAGCCTTTAGTGCATCATAATCCATAAGGACATCATCACATATATGCTTGGGAAGCAATGGAACTGAGGAACCTCCGGGAATTACTGCAAGCAAGTTATCCCATCCACCTCTAACCCCTCCACAGTGCCTTTCAATTAACTCTTTCAGTGGAATGCTCATTTCCTCTTCAACAGTGCAAGGCTTATTCACGTGTCCCGATACACAAAACAATTTGGTACCAGAGTTGTTCTTCCTCCCAAAACTGGCAAACCATTCGGGTCCACGCCTTAAAATAGTAGGAGAAACAGCCACGGTCTCCACATTTGTAACAGTGGTAGGGCATCCATATAAACCTGCATTAGCAGGGAAAGGAGGCTTCAATCTTGGTTTCCCCTGTTTCCCTTCAAGGCTTTCCAATAGAGCTGTTTCTTCACCACAAATGTAAGCTCCAGCACCAAAGTGGATGTGAACATCAAAATCATAACCAGTTCCACAGGCATTCTTGCCCAACAATCCAGCTTCATAAGCCTCTTTTCTGGCCTTTTCAAGGTTCCTTCGCTCATTCACATACTCACCTCTGATGTATATATAAGCTGCAGTAGCCCTCATCCCAACTCCAGCAATCAGACAACCTTCCAAGAGTTTGTGTGGATCGTGCCGCATGATTTCCCTGTCCTTACACGTTCCGGGTTCACTTTCATCAGCATTGACAACAAGATAGGACGGGCGACCATCGGATACTTTTGGCATGAATGACCATTTGAGTCCAGATGGAAACCCAGCACCTCCACGACCGCGGAGGCCAGACTTCTTGACCTCGTTGACAATCCAATCGGAACCCTTGAGTACTAAATCTTTAGTTCTGTACCAATCACCACGTTTCATGGCACCTTTGAGAAAGGGGTCATGTAAACCGTATAAGTTGGTAAAGATTCGGTCCTCATCCTTCAAGCCACCAAAATGAGTTTTCTCTGGAGGTGGAGGAGGTGGGGGAGGCTGAGGGCTGCTAGTAGCAGCTGCACCCTGATTGCTAAATGCTCTCAACCCTATACCCCATCTATCATTATAAATCCTTGTCAATACTGTTCGTTGAAGATAGAGCATGCCCCGAACAGGTGCCTGACGAATAGTACATATCAATATACTAGGTCGCTGAGTGAATAATTTTGGTAATTCAATCACGTGTAATGTAAACCCAGCTAATGATGATCAGTTTAAATGTGGAAATAACAAAAACAAACAAACAAACGAAACAAGAAGAAGAGAAGGATGAACTTAAAAAACCACCGTGAATTTATTCACGGACCTAATGCCAACTTACAAACAGATGCTGAAGAACGTAAAAACTTGTAATCAAATAGTTATGTCCGTGACAATTTTTGAACGATCAGTACAAATAGAAGAATCAAAATCACTCGAAACAACAAATCATCATCTAAATCTCTTCGAAACATTCAAATTCAAACACTAAATCAGAACAACCCGGAAACAAAATTCGAAATAAAGAAAGCGACAGAAAACAAACGAGAAATTAGTAATCGGCGCGGAAGAAATACAGATCCCTTACCATAGCATGAAGTGCTTCAGAAGGCAATAGAGGGAGATTTGCAGGATCGAAGAGAAGAGAGAGGTCAAGAGAGGTACAGAGATAAACTGCCGAGTGGCGATCTGTAGTAAGCAATAGCTACGGTTGCGATTTCCTGATCACGATGAACGGCTGAGATTGAATTGCGGTTCGTGATGGTTAAGAGGTACACGTAAATACTAAATCTTAAAAATATTTGCAGCCACTAATACATAATTAAATTTGTCCAAAATAAAATAAAACCCATCAATACATAAACTGAATATGGTATTTTAATTAAGAAAATTATTATGGATTTTATTTATTTATTTATTTTTGGAATGTAATTAAAATTTCTTTTGCTGAGATGTGAAGCAATGTTAACATTTATTTTCCTTCAGAATAAAGAGAAATAAGAAAAAAAAAAAAAAAGCAGATTCCAAGCTTAGGATATGGATCGATCATTTTCTTCTGCAAAAATGCCCAAAATCTAGTCAAAGAGGTATATCTCCATTTCTGTTCCTTCCTAATTCAACGGTCCTGATTATCGAAATCTTCATGTGATGAACAATTTGATTCCAACCAACTGCTATAATTCAACACCAGAAATAATCCTCGGTATGTTCGTCAGCAATCTAGTTGATTCTGTTCGAACCCTTTCCCTCAAAACCCATTACCAAATTGTGTTGTTGAGAGAGCTTTGATCTTCAACTTCAATGGCTGAGCTTGAGGATTCTCAAGCTCATCTTCCACTTCTTGATTCGAAACAGAATCGGAGTTCACAAGCGACCAGGCGAGGAGATGAGGAAGAAGAACATTTGGACAGAACACTGGAGCTGCTGGACACATTGCTTGGCCTTTTGGGGTTCCATCAATCCTCTGTTTTGAGCTGTGTTCTGTCTTGGTCTGGTTTTGTTCTTGTCGGTGTTGTTCTGCCTGTTGTGGTGTTGGAACTCGCTGATTGCGCTGCGTGTGAGATGTTCCAGATTAAGGATTTTGAGGTTAATACACTGGTCTCACAAGCTTGTCTTGCAGCTGTGTCTCTGCTTTGTCTTTCTCACAACCTCAGAAAATATGGCATCAAGAGGTTCCTCACTGTTGATAGGCAGATCAGCTCTTTGGCTCGGTATCGCAAAGACTATGTCAAGAAGATTCAGGTCAGCTTCAATCTGCTGTTTGAGAAATAGAAACATTAGAACTCACAACTCAACATCCATCGCACTCACACACCCGCACACAAAAATTAACAAAGTGTTTACAAAATGTATATCTCACGCTCTTGGACCACAAAGTCTCTCAACAAACTCCCTTCAAAATGTCATTCAACAAATACAAAATGACACTCGAACTCAATACTCTCAACCATCCTAGATAATCTGTTATACAGGCATATATGATTCATGTATCAAAATGAGAATATGAATCAAAAGGAGTATGAACTACATAAGAGTAATGAACCAAATAAATGTCAATGCATGCATAGGAGAGAGTAGTGAACCAAATAAATGCCAATGCATGCATAGGAGAGGCATGAATTTACTGTTCATGACAACTTAACAACACATCAAAAGTGTTAATTTTCATGATATCTTTGTCGTGTGACTTTGAACTATGTGCTAGGAAAGGTGCTTGGTTTGACTATCTATCTTCACAGGGATCAATACGTTTGCTCGTCTTCTGGGCACTTCCATGTTTCATTCTGAAGGCTACTCAAGAGGTAATTCGAATATTATATGCGGAAGGAGTATCATCATGGGGGCTATCTGTTGGTATCTTACTGGCTATGACCATATCTTGGACTTATCTGAGCTTGGTCTCTTTATCAGCCGCCATTGTATTTCATTTGATGTGCAATTTGCAAGTGATACACTTTGATGAGTACGCCAAGCTACTGCAAACCGAGTCTGAAGTTTTGTTTTTAATAGAGGAGCATATTTTCCTGCGCTATCATTTGTCCAAGATAAGCCACAGATTCAGAATCTTTCTTCTTCTACAGTTCTTGGTTGTAACTGCTAGCCAGTTCATGACTCTGTTCCAGACGACAAGATTCAGTGCAATGATTACCCTCATAAATGGTGGTGGTTTTGCAGTAAGTTCTTCAGCTTTTTGCTTCCTGCAACTATCTTTTTCAAATACATGTAGCTATGAGTTCAGACTTAGAGATGGGATTATATCCAAAGGTTTTATGCTGATTTGTCAGCAATACGTTGAGTCGACCCTTAAAGCTTGATTGTAACGGTCCAAGCTCACCACTAATAGATATTGTTTTGGATTTTCCTTTTTGGGTTTTCCCTCAAGGTTTTTAAAATGTGTCTGCTAATGTTTCGTTTTCCTCTCTAACTGATGTGGGATCTCACAATCCATCCCCTTCGGGCCCAGCATCCTTGTTGGCACACCGTCTCGTGTCCACCCCCCTTTCGAGGCTCAGCCTCCTCGTTGGCACATCGTCCAGTGTCTGACTTTGATACCATTTGTAACAACCCAAGCCCACCACTAACAGATATTGTCCTCTTTAGGCTTTTCTTTTCGGACTTCACCTCAAGGTTTTAAGAACGTATCTACTAGGGAGAGGTTTCCACACCCTTATAAGAAATGTTTCGTTCTCCTCCCCAACTAATGTGGGGTTTCACAGTCTACCCATTTCGGTGCCCAACATCCTTGCTGTCAATCGTTCCCTTCTCTAATCGATGTGGGACCCTCCAATCCACCCCTCTTTGAGACCCAATGTCCTTACTAGCAGATATTGTCCTTTTTATTCTCCTTTTGAGTTTTTAAAACACGCGTGCTAAGGAGAGATGTTCACACCCTTATGAGGAATATTTCGTTCTCCTCCCCAACCGACGTGGAATCTCACATTGATTATCCTTGTTTTTTACTCTCAAACTTTTAGGTGTCTGCAATTGTTCAAGTGGTTGGAGTCATTCTTTGCTTACATGGAGCAACAAAGATTTCCCACAGAGCCCAAGGAATCGCATCAGTAGCTAGTAGATGGCATGCTCTTGTCACTTGTGGTCCAGGTGATGCATCTCAGCCTCGATATCCAAATGGCAACGCAGACGCTACCAGTAGACTGAGCACAATGGGTAGCACTTACTCCGAAAGTGATTTGGAGTCCTTGGATGTTGTTATTACAATGCCGACAACCACACAGCTAGCTTCTTACATGTCCTCCTATCATAAAAGAGAAGCATTTGGTAAGAAACTCAGACATTCATCAAGTAACCAACCATCTATGCATTTTCTTAACACTATCAATAATTTGCTCAATAGTATCTTAAAAACCTTCACTTACAATGCTGTTACTTACGATTTTAAGTTGGTCTCCATGGTGCAGTCATGTATTTGCATATGAATCCTGGCGGCATAACGATTTTCGGGTGGACAGTTAATAGAGCTCTGTTGAACACTTTGTTTTTTATTGAACTCACACTCATCACCTTCGTGCTTGGGCAGACCTTAGTTTTCTCCTGAAGTTTCAGAAATGGTTCTGTTTGTAGAACCCTTCACATTCAAATGTCATACGTGTAAAATTATTCACTGGCTGGCGCCATTTTTGTATTTCAACATGTTTTTTTCTTCGTTTGCGAGTAATCAATCCCAATTGTTGGAGTTATTTTCATTCCCTTTGGTCGTATTTCTTCCTACCATGAGTTATATGTTATTTAAGCCGTGATGTTTCTTTCTTCGATTCTTACAAATCTTGCTTTCAACTCTCTTTCTAAAATCTTTCTCTGCCCCCGTTTTTGAGTTGACTGACTCATTCAATGGTGAGAGTGAGTGTTGCACAATTGTTTACCAAACGTTCCGTAAGAGTGCAATTGTGATACTAAACAATGTTAATCACATTTTGTAATCTTCTAAATTTTACCTCTTCTAAATTTTTTCCTAAAATATATATTTGTAAATAAAAAAAACTTTCTATAACATTCTAGAAACATCTAGATAATGGACATATACAATTATTGGGCTTGACTCGGTTGGACTACAAAAGTCGCAACCTAACCTAACCCAACCCAACCCAACCCATGAACCCTCGTACGATACATTGATTCAATCAAGAGAGCTCATGTTAAGAACAATAAAAATCATGGGTTATGGATAGTAACCAATTAATTTGTTTGATAATAATTTTGTTGGTAACTTATGGCATGCTCCAAAAGTTGCTCCACAATGGAAAACCATTGGAAAAGAGACAATAAGACACTACAAGCAACTAAAAACCAGAACAGACAATATTTCACTTCAAAATTTCAATATTTTATAACAATTCTAAGGTAAATGCATTTTACAGATAGTGAAGGGAAGAAAAGGGAAATAAATATTGAATGATTTTACCAGCAGCACAATGAAGGCAGCTTGAAGGAGAAAGAAGAAGGCAAGTGGCCAGTCCTCCTAATATAATCAGCTTTTTCAGAAGTCCTTACAGATTTCTTATTTAGTTTTGCCTCTGCATTTGCACGTTTCTCTTCAGCTATTCTTCTTGTGGCTGCTACTTTATCTGCCAGCATTTCTTCCGCACAAGCTTTCATTTTCTCTGCCTTTTTCTGTTCAATATAATCAACAAAACATTCAGAGCTTCGAGGAAGTGACCCTGCTGCAATTTGGTCGTTAAATCTATTTCATATTTGTAATATGAGATCCCATGTCGATTGGAGAGGGGAGCAAGTGTCAGCAAGGACATTGGGACCGGAATGGGGATAGATTGTGAGATCTTACATCGGTTGGAGAGGAGAACGGATCATTCTTTATAAGAGTGTGAAAATCTCTATTTAGCAGACGCGTTTTAAAAAATTTGAGGGAAAGCCTGGCTTGCGAGGGGCTTGAGCTATTACATGTAACCTTGAAAGCTTCGCAATAGCTTTTATGGGTGTTTTGATCTTTCATTGGATGTGAGAAAGAGGGGATAGAGCTCACAGTTAGTATAAGTTATGAACAAAGATCAATTGTGTTACGACTTGAGCTGGCTAAAAAGCATAAAAAAAAAAAAAGAAAATTGGGTGAGTTTTCCAGATTTGAGCTAGACAAAAGAATGGGAGAGCCTTGCTGCACCTTTAAAATCTTTAATCCAATCTTTCCATTTGATCTCTTTTGCACGTTTGAAGGAAATGTGTCATATAAGAAAGCTAACCACAGATACATTTTAGGAGGCTTAGCGAAACTAGAGGACTGTAATAAGAGGACAGATTGAAATCAAGCTCAACTGCACATTCAAATTAGAAACAAGTAAAAATCTGGGTGGGTACCTCAATTTTTCTCATTTTTGACTCAGCTTTTCTCTTCTCGCTGGTTTCCCATGCTTGTATCTTCACTTCTTCACGTTTGTACCTAGAGAAATGCAAAACAATCAGCATATCATGAACATTCAAGTTAAATCTAGCATTTTAGGCTCCTCCATGTAGGCTCCTCAAATGTAACAGCCCAATCCCACTACTAACCGATATTGTCCGTTTTGGCCTGTTACGTATTTATGGTTTTAAAACACATTTTCTAGGAGAGGGTCTAGCCCTACTCTAATCAGTGCCTCCCACCGCCCAGTAACTTGGCTCTGATACCATTTGTAACATTTCAAGCGCACTATTAGCAGATACTATCCGCTTTAATCCGTTATGTATCGTCGTCAGTCTCACGGTTTTAAAACGCATCTACTTGGGAGAGGTTTCCACACCTTTGTAAGAAATGTTTCGTTCCCTCTTTAACTAATGTGGGATCTCACAATTAGAAGGAATTAGAAGGATTGCAATGGGGAAGAAGACATCCAATTATTTCAGTTTTTCCAGTTTGATTGCCAGAAAGAATGTATGTCCCATTTCTCTGCTTTGAGTTTTATGATGAAAAACGAAAAGTCCCTCAAAATAGATTGCTTTCAAAACTTACAACGAATTTGCTGAATTTCAAAAGGAAAGCCTAAGTTATCAACCAGGTCATGTGTTAAGAACTAGACGGGCAAGGGCTAAACTAGAGGAGTAATGAAAAGGGTACAAAGGGTCACCTTGCAATATGCTTGGCTCGTTCGGCTTCATCCCAAGCCATTGCTCTAGTTTCCATAGAGCTCATCTTTACAGCCTGATCAGAGCTCTGGTTTTTCACCACCATGGCAGTAGAAGCAAAACCTGCTTGACGATCTTCAATGGCCGGCATTTCATGGTGAGGCCTTGCTGGGGTGGAAGATCCAGAAGTTATAGGGCTCTGAAGCACAGGGGTGGTGGCTCTGACTGGAGTAGCCGTCCTAGAGGGCTCCTGACTCGCTATGGGAGTCATCTCTGTCCCCATGTCCCTCAAGCACACAGACCTAACCACCGTGTTGCAGCTCTCCAATGGCTTATTGATTCTCCAAATGGGTTCATCACATTTCATCATCTTTGTTTCTGCTTCACTTTGACTGCTCATTGCAGAAGCAAAGCCACCATTTTCTTCTCGCCCTTCAGTCCTTTTATCTCCACCGCTCAAATACTCATGCTCCTGTTGTGGCACAGCAGCTATAAGCCGCAAGTCATCAGCATTCGAGTTTCTATGCTTGATTTTGGACTCCTCTTTGTCTCCTCCTTTTGGCAACCGAAAAATCCATTTCTGTGCATCGTCCCACTTCGATGGAGTTGATTTAGCTGTGGCCACCCGGCGATGGAAACTGCCATTAGCTCCATTTCCTCTTTGAAACTCAAAACTCATAGCCTTTTCATGTTTTGATCCATTTTTGTAATACCCATTCTCCTCCCTCCCCTTCATTTTGGTCCCAAAAAAAAAAAAAAAAAAACCTCTCACTCTCTCACAGTCATTTTATCAAACACTTGGCGTGCAAGCTTCAAAGATCACCCAGAAAAACTGAACCACAACTTCAAATACATATCAAAAACAGATCTATATCCCATAAACATCCACAAAAACAACATAATGCAAAGAAGTTAACGACATCGAGATTTCAATAGTAGCCGAAAGAGATATCCCAGAGCCCACAGAATAGAGAAAACTTCTTGTTCGCATTCAGAAGACGAATGAGGAAATGAAAGCAACAAAACCCGACAAGAAGTAGAATCTCACCATGTCTGAATGCTGAAACTTACGTCACTGAAGAAGATAAAGGGACCCATCTGAAGCAGTAAAGAGCCATGAACATTAAGAAATTAACTCAAGAGTAAAAGAAATGTGTTATTTCCATAGCAGAGAAGCTCAGAATCGCAGTGAAATTAATGGAAGACAGTACAAACGTAATGATATGTAGAAGTAGAAGCTGCAAGGCACTGATTATATGAACTTCACAACATGGAAGAGATAATCAAATCAAAAGGGGCTGATGGGTTTGGTTTGAAAGAGCTAAATTCCATAGTGAACTATAAATTTGACGCATTAAAAGCTGAGAGTTACAGATCTATCATAGAGAGGAATCATAAAAACGAGGGAGGGAATGGAAACAAACAAGCAAATCCGCGGCAACTTGGCAAGTAATTCCAAGAGAATAATATATGAATTTGCATGGAAATTGATGGACTTTTTTCACTGATCAGTTCACATGGGCTGCAAACAGCAAACCGGTCAGAATCTATCCCCTCTCCCATGAAAGAATTCTTGAAAATAATAATACCGAGTTTAAAAATATATATATATTTTTCTTGAATGTAATAAAAACATTATCCTGAAAAGATTTTAAAATGATGAACCAATACTCATAAAATATTGCATTTCCAGAGAATTAAAATATATTTTAGAACATCGAGAATTCAAATTCGTAACTCGAATAACGAACACCCATTAGAAAATTGGACACCAGACGATCCATGGCTGGGCCCATAAAAGATGGGCTGAAGCCCAAATTAAATGGGCTGAGGCCCAAGTAAGTGTGGGTCCATTTGATCCAATTTGTCGATTTGATTATATATACTAAATACTCCGAATAAATCTTAATATGGATCAATTTATATTTTAAAATTCAAAAGAGGCAGTTATATGGGACAGGTTACTTCAGCTTCAGAAACTTTAATTTCTTATAATGTTACAAAATTCATTGTATAAGTTACTCAACATAAGGAATATTAAAAGGGCAATTAAAATTATTTTTTTAAAATATTTTTTAGTCCTTCAAAATTAATTAATTTCTTTTATATATTGATTTTGAATATGACAATATAAAATGTTTTTAAATTATTTTCAAATATTAATAAATGTATTATTAAAATTTGGTGGGTTACCTAACTCTCACCTTCCAAACCATAAACATTAGGGTTAAAAAAAAAAAAAAAAAAAAAAAAAAAAA